TAAATAAAATTAAGCATCATCTCAAACAACTTTTTTGTTTTATAAAATATAATTTGTTTAATATTTTATTAACAGTAATATAAATAATTATTGACAAAATGTACATTGCAGATGTTAGCCACATTGGTAAGTCAGCTAAAAAGATAGCCATATTAGACAGTTATCATTGCCATTAATTGCCTCGTCAAACTACGAAAACGTTCGTTTGTCACAAAATAAATTACACTTGTTTGATGTGAGGGCATGGGCTTGAGCATGATGTAATTATGTTATCTATCACATTCGCTAACCTGTCTGTCTTTAAATTCTTTAAACAGCTCTGGATTCCGGTCGGCGGGTGCTTAGCCAAGTCTGATGTGTTGGCTCCCTTGGTTTACAGGGATCTAAAACATTTCTTACAGACAGGCCTCGTGGTGTCCGTAGGCTTTCCCTCACTGTCAGAGATATAGCTCAAATACTTCCAAATTTCGCTTCTGGCGTCTTTTTTGTCAACAAGCCGAGGCGCAGCGGCAGTTGCACTCCCACTTGCAGCCATGCTTCTCGTTTTCTCACATGCAGCTAGCGCGTGGCCGAGTGCACGAGAGAGGGGAGGGACTTAGAACGTGCTTGAGAGGGGCGGGAGTGCAGGCACGGCTGCAGTGCAGGGAGTGGAAGCAGAGCGCTGAACATACACGGCTCTTATTAAAACGGCGCTTTCTCACCGGAGTACCGGAGTACTTACCCCGTTATTCTTAAAGTAGCCTACCGATACTAATGAAACGGAGGAATCGTACCGTTTTTAACGACAGGGTATCGCGGTACCTTTCAAGTATCGGTACACCGTGCAACACTAGACTGGATTATCCCACGGAGGCTAAAGATTCTTTATAACACAGGTTGAGATTTGTGAAACCTTAATTATTTTAAGATTTATTTGTTAATTATTTGTATTACTAGTAATAATACACCTGGTTTATCGTAGCAAGCAGTGGAAACTCTCCTCCATAAGCGACAATTGCCAAGGGCTTGCGTTGCAACCCTCACTCGCCAATATTTCTTTTTTATTACAATATATTTTTAGTAGCTATACTATCATAAATATAGCATGTTTGTTTATTTTAGCAAACCACGTTCTCCAAGTAAAATTATCATTTATAATCTTTTTGAAAAATAGAGATCGCACATCAGTCCTGTGTACAGATCAGTTCGATAAAGTCATGCCTAAACAGCGACATTTTACTCGATGAATACGGGTTTAAACAGCAGCATTTGCCACGGAAGGCGAGTGGCAGCTACCGTAAACCTTCTCTTACTCTGGCATCTTGTGGCAACTCCCGCGTTCAGCAGCGGCAAATGCCTCGGCAAGTAGTGGCATCTGTGGCAGATGCCGGAAGTACTTGCCACAGGTGCCACGGAGTAGTGGCCTCTGTGGCAGATGCCGGAAGTACTTGCCACTGCCTGCAGATGCCACAGATATTCTTCAGGTAACGAGAATCTGCTGGAATTTTAAAAAGCAACTGATGACATAAGATTACTATATAAAAGTTATTACGGCCCGTCCACACTACAGCTTAAAAAAAAGCTTGGAGCTGGGCGTGTCTGAAGCTCGACCAACAACCAATCATATGAATCTCCCGCCCCTGACACACAAGCAGTGGTTTGATTGGCTAGAGCTTGTACTGGCATATGATTTGATTGGCTGACGCTTCCACCGAAAGCTTCAGAAGCTTCAAAAGTTGAACATTGCTCAACTTTTGCAGCCTGAAACGCCAGGAAAGCTCCGCTCTGCTTCCCACAATGCAGTTCGGCGAAAAGTGACGTCACCCCATTCAAAGTAGTGATGGGAATTCCGGCTCTTCTTGGTGAGCCGGATCATTTGGCTCGGCTCACCAAGAAGAGCCGGCTCTTTCGGCTCCCAAACGGCTCTTCAGTTTACCACATATTATACCTTTTAATTCAATCAAATGTAGCCCTATTTTGACTAATGATTTATATGTGTACAAATATATCACTTAAATTATTCAATACATCCTTTGTACTGAAGTATTCTAAAGTAAAAATTACATGATTAATATAAATGATTTGCTGTGGCCAATTGTTTTCATTGCATTTACAGACCCGTGTAACTCTCTGATACCACCCAATGAATGCATTGACTTGCTTGTAGAACCACGCTACACAAAACAGATAGCAACACCTATAACAACTATGTTAAAAAGGGGGCTACTGTATCGACCTATATTTTTCAAAATACCAAACAGATCCTGCATTTTAGCCATGCCTCATTTCGCTCTATTTCCTCTTTCCAGCGCTGTTTTTGCAGGGGGCTGATTCTGTGTGCTGCAGCTGACCACGCCCCCCTGCAGGAGAGGGGAGCGTGCTTTAGATCAGCTGCTGGGCTGTCAGAAGAGGGGGAGAAAAAGAGATCTCCGTCCTCCGTGTTTTATTCTTATAGAAGTAAGAAGAGAAGTAATGGGGCAGAAACCCTCCTTTTTACGCAGCAGTCCAGACATAGACATCAAACGGCGACACATATTCAGTGTGCAGTTACTTTGGCATTAGGGCAGGGATATCTAGATACTTTCCAAGGTTTGACATAATGAATTGTGCTACTTTTAAAGCAAGCAACGATGTTTTCAAATCTGTAATCAAAAAGCTCCTCAAAAACACTATCGAAGCAGTTCCTGCCGTTGCTACGTTAGTTCAAACAGTAACAACGGACTATTTTTCTTAGCGGATGCATGTCAATTTAAATCAATACATAAAACTATTTTTTAAATCAATAAAATCATTTTCTAAATCCATAAAAGCATTTCAATTAATATTGGGAGTCATGTCGTTACTTTGTTGAGAATGTGGCCATGTAATAAGAGGGATAATGTGCACATTGCACAATGTGCCTTCATGCCGATCTAGATCCCTCCGCAAAAACAAAGAAAAGAAAACCGGCTCGTTCGCGGGCAAGAGCCGTCTCCCGTCGTTCACTTAAAAGAGCCGGCTCTTTCGCGACCGACACATCACTAATTTAAAGTGAATGGGCAGACGCCTTGGAAACAGTTTTTGAAGCTGTCGAAGCTGTAGTGTGGACGGGCCGTTATGGTAATGATATGTAAACAGGTGACACTAATGCAGGCTCAAGCCCAGGGGCCAAGCCGCTGTGGCTTTTCAGTCCTCAAAGCAAACAAAAGCATTTTACTCTGGATTCATGGTGTATAAAATGACAAGGGGGCTTCTACGTAAATCTAGCAGGGAAGATGCCCCCCCCCCCCCCTGTAATTTTGGCCAGAATGTTCATAATCTCACAAAAATCCCATGTGTAAATTATTCTCCTTTACCTCTTAAACCCCACGGACCCGTTTCCAGGGCCGAAATCGCGTCATTTGCAGGAAACAACGAATAAGGAACCTTAATATTTAATAAACTATGAATATTTTTATATCCATATAACGGGAAAAAACTCATTTAACTGATCTTTTTCATTTTTTTCTCCAAAAAAAACACACAATGCTAACAGTGAGCCTCTGAAATAGCCCCGAGCGAAAAATGCTAACCTATTACTGCACCGAAAATCACTCCTAGCTCCCTTATTACTTATCCTAGCTGCACATCCAACACATCGTGTATGATCGTAAAGACACAGAATCTAACGGCGCCCACCTCAACACTGAAAGATACAAACTCGCGACGTTATCAACAAAAACGTACATCAAAACAAGTGGCGCTAGGTAGCCCACAATGCTAACATGGCTTACCTTTGTCTTTGTCTGGTCTAAACTGGTCTTCAATGGCATTACAACGATAACAACGATGATGTAGTTAATCCATAGGTTAATATCCAATTTGGCTGTGTACCCTTTGAAATGTTCTGATAATAATCTATAAGCAATAAAACTGCAATTCCGTTTTAAAATAGTAGAGCAGGCCATTCCTACGCTCTGTAGCTTCATTGAATGCGCGAAGACGTCACATTTGTTTAACATGAGTGTGTGCGGGACGATTTCCCTTCGATTGTATTGGCTCTGGTCAGAAAAATATGTCACATGTCAAAAGAAGAAGGGGGGCCAGAGATATGAAAAATCCACCCAAATGGCCCCAGAAGAGTTTTTTTGTGCTAAATCTGTCTAAAAAGGTAAAAATATCACTTGTTTTGCATCAATCTTGATACAGGGTACTTATTATATGTTGTACTTTGGATTCCTAAAGCTTTTAGTCTACTAACCCATCATCCAAGGTTAGTTTTCACTATAAGTACAAAATATCTTTTGGACGGACACTATAATTTACAGTTTTTTTTACCATGTTCAATCTGAACTTTCTTTAAAATAAAAAAACATCTATATTGATTCTGACGTTTCTACATCCAACTCACAGGTTTATCATTACTTTGAGAAAAAAGATTATTAATGTAACCCTTTTAGAAGGGAATATATGGTCATTTGTTCTGGGAATGTCATTTTCGAGCCTGAAACCTGAAAAACAGGCTTGGGGCTTAAGAGGTTTTAAGCAAACAAAAAAAATGTACGCTGAATTTATCCGCTGAAAAATGCTTCTAAATCTGGCAGAGCTGGTGTTATGGCTGCCAAATTTGGCAAATACTAAGACTCTTGATCGCAGATAACAGAAAGATATCACAAAATACCGAAAACGTTATTCTTTAGCAAAGGCACAAATTGTCAGATATTTTAAGCTGTGTTGTTGTGTTATTAAAGAAAGAATTTCTACATAAACATTTTATCAGTATAATCTTTTAAGATGTTGCCCAGAGAATTCCCCCTACTTATTTCACTAGCAAGTGAATATCGTGTTATTCTGCAATAACATTAAACCACACATAGTCTTTTCTAGAGTCTAACAAAATCTTCTAAATCTGTATGGTCTTACTTGACACAGAACTCCTAATATCTGAATAATATGTATGTTATGTATGGCCAAATCATGGTCTAAAATCATCACTGACGTGATGATTTAGCTGAACTCTTGTCAACATAATGAATAAACAAATGAGCAGCAGTGTATTTTACCTCCTTTTCCATGTGTAAGCCCTCTGCACGGATGTTCCGCTCAAATATCTCCCTCTTCTCTGACTGCGAGCTAGACTTCCTGTAAACCAGGATGTAGTCAATGCGACTCTTTCCATCGCTGAAGCAAAGGCAGCTGGACTTACTCCTCCCCTGACGGATAGACACATCAAGGACACACAGTCAATAAGGAACAATTAGTAACTGGCCATTTGGCTCCTCCACCTTTACACACATCATTACACACTATAGAGTTCTTCTGTCCAGCTTCCCTACCCCACTGACCTCTGGGAGGCACGAGTCCGACTTGGTGTTGTTGTCCAGGATGCTGCTGTTGGTGTCCGGGTTGAGCAGGGTGGAGTCGTCGTCTCTGGACGGGCTGCTGATGCCCTCTGACCTTTTTCTCTCAAGAAGCACATTAACATTCTTCACAGCTGGAGGCAAGATTAGCAGAGAGAAAGTTAGAATACACAGCTACTACTTGTATATTTTCATTAGTGTATATGGTGCTTGGAAAAGGACACTTTTCAATCCCCTGGACGTTATTTAAGGCATGTATCCCTCACAGTCCTTTGAAAAGTACATATTTTATCCACGCCATTTGTATACATATATGTAAATAAACAAACGTTTTGAGTTGGTGTGTGCGAGAAAAACTTACATTTTTGCCGCTGCTTTTAATTGAACTATGTACACTGTAACTTGTATTATTCATGTTTTATTATCTTTGGTTTATAATGTGTTTCCGCTGCACTATTTCTTAATGATCTTAATGTCTTTCATTGTTGTAAAGCACTTTGAATTGCCTTGTGTTTAAAGGTGCTATATAAATAAACTTGCCTTGCTTTGAGAGAGAGAGAGAGAGAGAGAGAGAGAGAGAGAGAGAGAGAGAGAGAGAGAGAGAGAGAGAGAGAGAGAGAGAGAGAGAGAGGCATATCTAGCGCCTTATAAGACTTCTTCTTTGTATTTTGATTGCTTTGTCAAAACTGTTACTTAAAACCTTAACCATTAAATTGAATGTGATAAAGAGAGTTTGGCGCTTCTTGTTTTAAAGAAATATCGGTGTGTTATGTGAATGGCAAGTGTAGAGAACGTTCAAGCTCTAGTGGCGCTGGTTCTCACCAAGGGGAGGCTCATCAATTTGAGTGCTGGAGTCCGTGGCTTTAGACGAGGATTCCTCCATGATGTCTGCCCCCCCACAGAAGGGGAAGGCCAGAGGTCTGTCCGCAGCCTGGTAGCCTGAGGCCAGAGGCTGCAGCGGGACCCTGCGTCGGCGGTGGCTCCTCTTCCGGGGCTCAGACTCATGTAGAGATAAACTCACACCTATAGGAAACACAAAACCTTTATAACACTATGTTTTTGCCACACCTGTAAGTGTGTGTTTCTGTGTGTGCAGCTGTCTGTTCACAGCTCATCTCACATACTACTGGACCCATCAGCCTAATATTTATTATGCTTATTTTTGACTGTGTGCGCCATGACCACTCGTGAGTCACTGTCTTGATCAGCCTACCGTTTTATAAGAGCAGTGTGGTCGAGCATTAAAGATGAATTTTACCGTCAAACTTTACTGTCAGATACTCAAAGCAATTCATTAGTCATGGGTAAGTTAGGTCGTAACCATTCACACAACATTTGAGTTCAAGTCCGGATTACTTCTTGAAATCAATCCAGGGTTAACAAATAAACTGCCTGGAAGATTTCTAGCTTTTTATGAGCTTAGCTTGTTAAACCCCGGGCCTGTTTTTCAGGTTTCAGGCTCGAAAATGACATTCCCAGAACAAATGACCATATCTTCCCTTCTAAAAGGGTTACATTAATAATCTTTTTTCTCAAAGTAATGATAAACCTGTGAGTTGGATGTAGAAAAGTCAGAATCAATATAGATGTTTTTTATTTTAAAGAAAATTCAGATTGAACATGGTAAAAAATTGTAAATGATAGTGTCCGTCCAAAAGATATTTTGTACTTATAGTGAAAACTAACCTTGGATGATGGGTTAGTAGACTAAAAGCTTTAGGAATCCAAAGTACAACATATAATAAGTACCCTGTATCAAGAATGATGCAAAACCTCTTCTGGGGCCATTTGGGTGGATTTTCCATATCTCTGGCCCCCCTTGCTCGATTTTGACATGTGCCATATCTTTCTAACCGTCAGAGCCAATGGAATCGAGGGGAACTCACACCTAGTCCTTATTTGGTAATGTGTGTGTATTAGACTTCCGCATAGCCAAGACCGGAAGCAGCAGCCAGCTAATGGTGGCTACCATTAGCAGCTAACTTTTGCTCTGCGATTTTTACATAAAAATGGAATTATGGATTATAAATGAAATTTTTTTTTTTTACAGAGACGTTAAAAACCTATGGATTAACCGATTCAGCCGCGTTTTTTTCTCGTTTTAATGCCATTGAACACGTCTTTTGATCAGATTGACAGCTATGGTGAGACAATCTCCCTAAACTCCGTAAAGGTACATGTTGTGATGTCTGTGTTTGCTTCCCCTGTCGCGAGTTCGGATCACTCAGTGATGATACTATATACCTAAATAATCTTTGGAACCTCAGCTTTAATCGGATATCTTGTATGTGCAGCTACGATAATTCATAAGGGTACTTTTATCTTGAGTTCTGTGCCAATGTCCGTTAGCATTTTTCGCTAAGGGGTCATTTAGATGCTTCTTATGAGACTTATGTTTTGTTTTGGTAAAAATTGTTTGTTTCGTCAGTTAGCTGAGATTATTCCCGTTAATCTGGTATAACACATTAATGGGTTCTTAAATATTAAGATCCCCTGAGACACAGTGTCGTAAAAAAAAAACCAGGGTCCCCGCCGGCGGGGACCTTGGGGTTTTAACAGGTTAAGGTCAAAGTACATTTTGTTAAAGCCGAAAAAAAAGGTTTGATTGCACCTATAATTTTTCCAACCCTTCAGGGTGATACCTCTCCCAGTTATGACGACGGGCTCATTCCGGTTTTCCAAGGATTCAGGAATAGAGTGAATAAGAGAGATTATTTTAAATCAGGCATATCTTGCCTCAAAACGATGCAGAGAAACTAGTCCATGCATTTGTTACTTCAAGGCTGGATTATTGTAACTCTTTATTATCAGGGTGTACCAAGAAGTCAGTTAAGTCGCATCAGCTGATTCAAAATGCTGCAGCTCGTGTACTAACCAGAGTTAGGAAAAGGGACCACATTACTCCTGTTCTGGCTGCCTTACACTGGCTCCCTATAGAACACAGGATATAATTTAAAATTCCTTCTCGCCTACAAAGCCCTTAATGGGCAGGCGCCATCTTACCTTAAAGAACTCATTATACCCTACTGTCCTACTAGGGCATTGCGTTCCAAGAATGCAGGGTTGTTGGTTGTTCCTAGAGTCTCTAAAAGTACAATGGGAGCCAGAGCCTTTTCTTATCAAGCTCCACATTTGTGGAATCAGCTTCCAGTTTGTGTTCGGGCGGCAGACACCCTATCCGTTTTTAAGAGTGCGCTTAAGACCTTCCTTTTTGATAAAGCTTATAGTTAGGGCTGATTAGATTCAGCCCCTAGTTTTGCTGATATAGGCTTAGTTTGTCAGGGGACATCTTACTTCTTCCTTCTCTCTGTCTATACCTGTGTACTCTCATGTTCCGATTAACCCAGCTTCCCCAAATGTCTTTCTTTTTGGTGTCTATATACGCCGGGATCCGGAGTCATGGATGATCCTGCGGTCCTGTGTCCTGGATCGCGAGCCCTGGATCTTGAGTCCTGGATGGATATCCTCGTGGATTCATCTTCTTATTAATATACACACATGCATTTCCAAACATTTGGACTACCTATGTTGCAAATGTATTATCTTTTCAATTTACACACGGCATCTATTGTACGTCTGTCCGTCCTGAGAGAGGGATCCTTCCTCTGTTGCTCTCCCTGAGGTTTCTCCCATTTTTCCCTTTAAACTGTGGGTTTTCTCCAGAAGTTTTTCCTTGTACGATGTGAGGGTCTAAGGACAGAGGGTGTCGTATTGTCATACTGATATTCTGTACAAACTGTGAAGACCACTGAGACAAATGTAACATTTGTGATATTGGGCTATATAAATAAACATTGATTGATTGATTGATTGATTGATTGATTGATTATGTGAGACAGAAAGATCTGTGAAAGTCACAGAGGGAAGACCAAAGAAAAACTGAAATTGACAGCTCAGTTACGTTTATTCCCTATTATAGGGATTTACGATTAAATACTTGAAAATACATTCTCCACAGGAACACAAAAGCTAATTGGGTCTATTTATCATCTAGGAAGTGTTGTTAAGGTTGGGGGACATACATTCTCCATCTAAATATCTCCATCACTCACTCTCTGGAGAGCTTCTGTAGAGGTGGGAGGACTGTGTGCTGATTTTTACTTTATGACATGAAAAGGTGACTCAGCTAAATCTTTCTGCTGAGCCGTAGAACCGGGGACAGAGGTTGTGGGAGCGTCCTTGGCTCCAATTAGCCATTGATGCTTGGGAACATTGGAGCCCGTGGATGCAGCTAACAGAAACACAATACAATTAACTGACAACACACAAACCGGACAAAAACGCTATGAAAGCGACATGTAAATCACTAGAGCGTAGCCTGCTTTATGGTCTATTTTACTTGAAAGGGGACTTCAGAACCAGTTAGTAAATTCCCCTCCCCATATTCAAGACGCATGTTTCCTCAGGACCAGTGGCGGTTCTAGAACATTTTACATGGGGGGGCAAAGGGGAGGCAAGAGGTCATGCCAGGGTGGCATGGGAGGGCGGGCAGTACGTGGTATTTTACACTGTATATAACCTATTTATTGTTAATTCATGCCCTAACACAAGTGTTCTTAATGCACAAGAGAAACAAGGTATTCAGACAAACAATCGGGTGCCCTTTGAGTCCCCCAAGCTTACCTCAACCATTTTAAATGAAAGGAAACTACAAAATGTATTTTAAAGCAATGAATTAATGGAACAGGTTTTTTTGCATTACAATGTAAATTAAATATATATTTTGTTTTAAAAAAAATTGGTTGTCTTAGACAGACATATTTGCATGTCCTCACTAAGCATTATTACATATTAATTTAATATTAAACAAATAAAAATGGCCAATTATCCCAAAATGTTGCTGCTAATATAATCATATGCTTGTCAACTTTAACTGATCAAAAATAAATTCTTAAAAAATACTTGAATTATCTATGAAATTGCAATATTGTCCCTCAGTTTGTTTCAACCCCGTCACGCCATACCATTTACCCTCCTATTAAAATAATGGATCAGTCCATGTGTGGATCAGTCCATGTGTGATCTGCATGGAGGGAATTACATCACAGAAGTGTCAGTTTCTTCTCTTACCTATATTTCAGTTTTTGTATTTTCAGATTAAGATTGATAAACTCAACATTTCAACTATGTTGTATGAATTAATAATAGTAAATAATTAATAGTTTTGCAAAATATTACAATGTTGTAATGTCCTTGACTTCCATGTGGTGCCATATCTTAGCTAAACAAGGTCTCATGCCTACTTTTTGTCAAAAACTTCAACCCTGTTACATTTTTTCAAGGAAATTCCTAGTAATTATTTATATGTTGTGCCTGAGGTGGGAACATGTAAGTAGTCCACTACCAGATGTTATGACCAAACATTTTGGTTTCATTTTTCAAAGATATAAAGACCCAAAAGGCACCCGATTTAGAGAATACTCAGAATTCTGCATACTGTAAGTACTTAATTATAATTAAGTACACAAATGACATCACCGCCATCTTTTTAGCGAGCTACAGGTGACCTGTGCAGCAACACATTTCAATCAATATTTGTCAATACTAAGAGCTGCTAGATTGAGCTGCTGTGATGGAATATGTAAGGAGAATAAGAACATACCATGTGGTCCAGCTGGAGTTTCATCTGCCTCTGGCCCTCTTTCTGATACTTCATCTTTATTCCTCACATATATTTCTTCTTCTTCACTAATGTCTTAATCTCCTCCTCTTCCTCCTGGTCTCTTCATCTCCTCCTCTTCCTCCTGCTCTGACCCTCCTGGTCTCTTCATCTCCTCCTCTTCCTCCTGCGCTGACCCTCCTGGTCTCTTCATCTCCTCCTCTTCATCCTGCTCTGACCCTCCTGGTCTCTTCATCTCTCTTTTCCTTTTCCTCTTTCTGTTCGTCCTGATCACTTCTCATATGTCTTTGTGTTGTTGTTGAATCACTCCAGCTACTCTGGCCTGCAAGAGTCTACTTGTGAAAAGCACTGGTACAAATGCTTGTATAACTTTACACGTTAGTGCCATGTAGCCTAGCTAATA